TTTTTTTTTTTTTTTTTTTTTTTTTTTTTTTTTTTTTTTTTTTTTTTGTTTCATCGCGTTTTCGTTTGGGGAAGCCAGGACGATCGGTCCCTCCCTTGACGTAAGAAGAAAGATAATCATGTTTCTCTCCGGTGCCGACTCTCCTTTTTTCAACTCTCCACCCCCCTTTACCAAGCGGAGGAGGAAGAAAGCCCCCCTGCGTGCACAAATGTGGACAGACACGAAGGGGGAGGGGAAAAAAAGCTCTCACGACCCTCCGGTGCTGTGAACCACTCGAGGTGTACGCGTGAAACGCGACGGTGAGATTGGAGGAGAAAAAAAAAAAAAAAACAAACAAACAGATCTATCGGCACGACAATCGAGGGGTTTTTCGACTTTGTAAGATAATTTGTAGAGCGAGGGTGTACCTGGCTGGTGGTCTGGTTGTCGGTAACCATCGCGGCGCTGCGCCCCTGCCAGCCTCTTCCTTAAGGATAGGAACGAATCACGCTATACACGCACACTACACACACACACGGGGCACTCGTGCAACACAATCACCACAACCGGAGCTTATCGCGCACTACACCCTCACGGCATGTACACCCTCGAGGATCACCCACAGGGGTTGTCAAAATGGTCGATCATGGCATATTGCACTTTTTTTTTTTTTTTTTATATATATATTTCAATTTTGAAGAAAAATGACCGACTCGATGTACTTGTGCGCGATGTAATGACAGCAGTGCGTATTATACGTATGATACGGATGATGGGCTGGCCGGCGCGGCACGCACCGCTCGCGGCAACCTTCTGTTCGTTTCTTCCCCGGTTGCTGCTCTCTCTCCTCGGCCGAGCGTGTGTAGGTTGCGCTAAGGGCGTCGGGACGCCCGTTCTACACCCCTACGTGTGCGTGTTGTTGTATACATATACGGGCTCCACCGCCACCACTCCACCCCCACTTACGTCCGTGTGTACGCGTCACCGTGACCCACCCTCTAGTTCCCTTTGTGTACATATATATACACCCTACTGCACTGGTGTAGCTCTTTTTCCATGTCGGGAGGTGTAGGGGGGGAGGGGTGACTTTTTTTTTTTTCATATCAGCACAGTGTTTTTCGGGGATCACTGTCTTAACGTCAATGCGAATCCCTTATTCTCGTTACGTTGCAGCATATATATATTTTTTTTTCCATTTGGAGAGGATCGATCGGCGATATCGCGTATGTATACGTGTGTGCATGCACGCGGTGAGCGGCGTTATGTAAATCGTACTGCCGATATATTGGCATGCATGCATCAAGGCGGATTAAATAGCCGAGAATAAAAATTGTTGGGGTTCTTTTTTTTTTTTTTTTTTTTTTTTTTTTTCTTTGGTTCTCCCTGAAATGTGCACCTATCACGCAAAACTTGTACCCAAGTTTACCGTCATTCAAGTTACACGTGCAGATGCAAGTGAGGACATTCGTGACTTCGATTTGAAGGATGCCGAATCGTAGAATCTCTTATTAGAGCTCGTAGAGGTTGATAAGCGCGTGGTAGAGCTCGACTCCCCTTGGGACTAGCAATGGGTTTTTAGTTGGAAAAAAAAAAGTATACTTACAACCACGCCTACGCGATTATGAAAATGGGAAAAATTTTCAATTTCAGCGGGTAAACTAAGTCAACTCTCTACGGGCGCATTTTTGGAGGAACAGTACATGTGGTTTAGTTAGGCGGGCGATGCGTGTTTGAACTTGATTAGCTATTCTTGGAAAAGTGCACATCCTTTACAAAATATATCAAAAATCATCCCACAAAATTGTTCCCCATTTTAATAAAAAAAGCACATTGTTAAGCACAAAATATTTTGTTGTTGTCACGTACTACGAGGAAAACATTTTTCAACACGGAGAGTGACATTGTTTTATTTCCACGATTTACATGTTAAAATTATATTTAAATAGAAATAATAATGATAGAACGTCAATAGCAGAAAAATTGTCACCCTCACTGAAAATCCGTGTTGAAAATGTACATGACATCGCGAATAAAATGAGCCCTATGTAGAGGGTGTGCTTCAAAGAAAATTTTATTTTTCATTAAAAATGGGGGACAAAAACGGGATATTTTTTGCGGATTTCCTCGTATACCTATAAAGACGAGGGCTTTTAAACATGCGCGCGCTCACCCCCCTGATGTGGAATACACGCAACAAAACCGGCACGCGATCGTGCTACACCGGCACACCGAGATATCGAGGGGGGTGGAAAGAAGAAGCTCGGATGGGCGCAGTCGCACGCGCCCGCGCACTTTGTTTTTATTGTATATACACACACACACACATCATGCAGAGCGATAAGGGAAGAGTTTTTCTTTTAATTCTTTTTTTTTCTCTCTCTCTCTCTCTCTCTGTCTCTCATTGTGATTTTTTGCTTTCTCGATCGCCATGCGTGTGCTTATTGCGCGACGACGAAACTATAGCGAGTGTGTCTTTGGAAGACATACATGTACATGATGATTACGTAGCTCCCGAAAGGTTTGCGCGAGGGTAACCAAGGGGGAGTGGGTATAACCGAGGGATGGCTCGTATTTTCCTCGGCTCCGTTTGAGCGCTGATCAGATCGATCCTGGGATTTTACTCTCCCGTCGTTTATATGAAGGCTGAAGTTTCGCTGGCAAGGCCGTGCAATTCTCACCTTGGGAGTTGTTTGAAATTATTATTTTTTTTTTCGTGCCTTGGCACCATACTTAAAAAAAAATACCCGATCGATCGGAGTCGCATCTGGCAGGTGCGGTGAACAGGGCCCAGTGGTAACCGGAGAAAAACTGCCCGCGACCCTCCGGGTTCGCTTCCGCTTACCGATCGACGTTCATTATTTTTTCACAGGCGCGACCACACGTGCGGAGAAGGGGGGGTAAAAGCTACGTGCGTGCTCCATTTGTCTTCCCGTTTCTATTTGTCCTGTATCGAGTACACGCGCCGATCGATGTCGAATCGTTTCCGACGGTTTTGACAATTGGATCCCCGACACAATCGATCCTGAAAGTGGTAATGATGAAGTTTTTAACTAATCGGTTGCTTCATTTTACAAAGAGTCCCTATATGATGGAACCAGATGTGTTTACACCCATCATGTTACATGATAATAATAAGAAAAACCATGTCCTCCACCGCCTAAAGAATCAATCGATGCACGTACGAGCAGTTGAAAAAAAAAAAAAAAAATTCACGGACCATCATTGTTTGTTGACGCGCACCTCACGCGTGTACTCGAGCACGCCCACGCGGTTATATACCGTCGACTTCCATCACCGCCCAAATATAAACGCCAAGATTGATAAGCCCTCCTCCTCTCCTATCTCACTTTTTCAACGCGTCTAAAAATAAATTTTGCCCCACGCGTATGTAAGTACTCCTCGCTTTGCTCTTCGTATACGTCGATACCCTTGGAGCCGATATTATATCCATCGGCCGACTCAACGCTATAACTAAATACACACAAGCGCACGTTAGCACCTATAAACAAAACGATCGAATCATCGAACTGATTTACGAGCAACTAATCGGCCCTTTTAACCCCTTATCCATCCATCCATGTCGTATACACACACCGGCCGGGCCGTCAGCTGCTATTCTCTCTCAGACACGCATCTTATTACGTATTTAGCTTCATCACTTATTTATTCCCTCCGCAGCCAACCCACGACACTATATTATATGAAAAAAAAAAAAAAAAAAAATCGTCCCCTCTATTGCACCTCTCTTTCTCTTACAGCTCACTGCACACGCGGCTGGTTCTCTTCAACCTATCCATATATTATACAGCCACCCATCGAGCCTCTCTGTGCGTGTTCTCGTGGTCCCTTTTGTCTCGTCCTCTGCTCGGCCCTTGGCGCCCGCTTTGTCCCCGTGATTACTCGAGGATAATGCACTGCTATCCTCCGTCCATCAGGACTCCGCACGTATATATATATATATATATATATACACAA